AGTGAGATAGTCCTTCTGTGGCACTGACCACGCCCATTGCTATTTGTTTATCCTGATCCTTATTTAACCACAATACCTACATTTCAAGTCTGCTGATGACAAAGCCCTTAATTTTGTTGGTCAGTAATACCCTCATTTCACCTTCACTTATAAAGATATTTCTGCTGGAGTTTTGGCTAGAAGTTTTTTTTAGAAAAAACTTTAATAGCATTGTTACTATCCTCTTTATGTTCATGCTATCTTTTTTTTTTTTTAATGAGAAGTTGGCTCTGTAGGTGTGTGTGTGAGATTCTGTGTGTGTAAATGTATATGGATGTTTACCTGGAGGTCAGAAGTCATTATCCTGTGTCTGGGAACTGGGATTGACATGTAAAACAAGCTTGTTTCAAATTTAAATAAAAAAATATTATAAAAAATAATATTCCAAAAAAAATATATCCCGTATCCTCTGTTTTCCATGGTATTTTGTTTAGTTGGCTTTCTTTTCTTTTCTTCTCTTCCTCTTCTCTCTCTCTTCCAGATACACACACACACACACACACACACACACACACTGGGTCTCATGTAGCCCTGGCTGGCCTAGAACTCATTACATAGACTAGGCTGGCTTCTGACTCACAGATCTGCCTGTCTATCTCCTAAATTCTAGGATTAACAGTTAGTGCCATTACAACTAACTCTACTTCATTTTTTTTTTTATATAAGATTGTGTGTGTGTGTTTGTGTGTATGGATGGATGGATGAGTGCTGTCCATACTTGTGTAAAAAGAAACTGGAAGAGGGTGTTGAGTCACCAGAATTACAGATGGATATGAGCTACCATTGGGTGTTAGGAATTATACACTGACAAATGCTTTGACTGCCAAAGCATCTCTCCAGCCCCGTATATCTTTCTCACAGGGCCCAGAGCTCACAGATTTGGCAAGACTAGCTGCCCAGAAAACATCAAAGATCCTCTTATCTTTTTCTCCTCACTGCTAACATTATAGGTAAGCCACACTGCCTGGTTTTTTATTTGGGTACTGGGGATCCAAATCAAGTTTTTTGAACTTTCTTGGTCAACTCTTCCATCTACTCAGGATAGTCTTGAACTTACTTTGTAGTTTTTGTTTTGTTTTGTTCTGTTTTAAACTCACAGAGATCCACCTGCCTCTGCCTCCCAAAGTGCTGGGACTAAAGGCATGTGTCATTCTGGCAGTTTTTTGTTTTTGTTTTTGTTTTTTTAAATCCTACTTGTAGTTAATTGCACTTTTTGATATTTGGGTTTATTGTCCCCCCCCTTTTTTTTTTCCTTCAATGCTAGGGCCAGTTCTAAGGGCCTGTGCTTAAGGATTGAACCTTGGTCCAGATACTTTAGTCCAGCACAATATCAAATTCTTAGCCTGATTTTTCTTTTTCTTTCTTTCTTTCTTTCTTTTTTTTTTTTTTTTTTTTTTTTTTTGTTTTTTGTTTTTTGAGACAGGTTTTCTCTGTGGCTTTGGAAACTGTCCTGGAACTAGCTCTTGTAGACTAGGCTAGCCTCAAACTCACAGAGATCTGGCTGCCTTTGCTTTCCAAGTGCTGGGACTAAAGGCATGTGCTACCACTGCCTAGCCTTATTTTTCTTTTTATATTTACTTATTGTGTATGTGCATACTCAGGACACTGCATTAGTGTGGAGGTCAGAGGCCAACTTGTGGGTTCTGGGGCTCCAACTCAGGTTGTCAGGCTTGGCAGTAAGAACCTTCACACACTGAGCTATCTTACTAGTCCTTTTCTCTTAATTAGAGCAAATGTTTGTACCCAGAGACAGGCCTTATGATTGGTGATTCCAGCAACAGCACTACACAGGTTTTTTTCCAAACTCTTCTTTCTCTCCCCACCTGCCTGCTCCCCTCCAGAACCTCATGTAGTCTTTAGCCCTGGCTGGTCATTAATGGGAAGCCTTAATAAAAGTAGGCAAACATTTCTGGTTGGAGCTGGGATATAGCTCCCTGGTGAGTATATGCTTACTATACAGAAGACACTGGGTTCAATTCCCAACACCGAAAATAAAATATTTCCCCCGAATGGGTATTACAGACTTTACTTAACCATTGTGTGTGTGTGTTGGGTTACATTTTTTTCCATGTTTCTGTCATGTAAACTTAAGTTCCCAGAAAAAAAAAGCCAAACCAATAGTAAAGATTCAGTTGACAGACTGAGTAGAACATCATAATTATGAACAATCAGCAGGTTGTATATCCAGAGCCAAATTATCTTGGGTTGTCTTCAGTTTCCTTAAAAGCCATTCACTGAAGCTAGACCTGGTGACAGACAACTTTAATCCTAGCACTTAGGAGGCAGATGTAGGTGGATCTCTGAGTTTGAGGCCAGTCTGGTCTACATAGCTGAGTTCCAGGACAGCCAGGATTCCAAAAACAAAAACAAAACAAAAAACAAACAAACAAATAAAAACAGTCTTCAAAACCAGGAAAAGAAAAAAGAGAGAATTTCACCTCAGTTTTTAACCTAACATCTTTGTAATTATCAGGTAGAACTTAATACACAAGTTTCCACCAATCAAAAGCCAAGAATATCACCAGATAGAATTTGAAACTTAAAGCAGAGCTTTCTCCCACTCTGCTATAACCAATATGTATATGTATATATATATAGCTGGAAACATTATATATATATATATATATATATATATTTAAAGCTTGCTTATTTATTTGTTTATTTATGTATATTGCTCTACCTACAAGCCAGAAGAAGGCACCAGATCTCATTATGGATGGATGGTTGTGAGTCACCATGGTTGTGAGCCACCATGTGGTTGCTGGGAACTAAACTCAGGACCTTTGGAAGAGCAGCCAGTGCTCTTAACTGCTGAATCACCTGTCCAGCCCATAATTAATTAATTTGGCTGGGCAGTGGTGGTGCATGCCTTTAATCCCAGCAGTTTGGAGGCAGACATAAGCAGATCTCTATGAGTTCAAGGGCAGCCCAGTCTACAGAGCCAGTTGTAGGACAGCCAGGACTGTTACACAGAGAAACTCTGTCTCAAAAAAATTTATTTATGTTATGTTTATATGTGAGTGTCCGAATATATGTCTCTGCCCCATAGGTGCATAGGTGGCTAAGGAGTCTAGAAGAGGGTGTTGGATCACGTAGAGCTAGAGTTACAAACAGTTGTGTGTTATGGATGGTTCTTCCCACCAGCCTGGTCCCACAGCTGCGACAGCCCCAAATGAACGCACAAAGACTTAAATTAATTATAAAGCTGTTGGCCAATGACTAGGGCTTTAATAAGAAGCCTGCTCTGTTTTAATTATTAACCCATAACTACTAATCTATGTATTTCTACATGGTCTTATCTTACCGGAGAACACCTGACTCTTCCTTCTCTCTTCCCAGGATCACATGGTGTCTGTACTCTGTCTACACCTCCCAGAATTCTCCTCATCTCCTAGACCCACCTATTTTGCTGCACTATTGGCCAACAGTGTTTTATTCATCAACCAATAAGATACACATATACAGAAGGCCAACCTCATCAGTCTTGCACATCTGCTGTGGGTGCTGAGAACTGAACCCAGATCCTCTGGAGGAGCAGTTTTCTTAACCACTAAGCCAGCATTTCACTCCCTGTTTCCTTTTTTTGTTTGTTTGTTTGTTTGTTTTGTTTTTTTTGAAATAGGATCTCGTTAGGTAGCCCTGATTGTGCTGGAACTTGATATGTAAACCTGGCTGGTCTTGAACTCACAGAGATCTGCCTCCCAAGTACTGTCATTAAAGGGCTAAAGCATCATGCCCTGCCCTACTAAAGTATTTAAAGATGACTTGATTTGCCAGTTTTATCCTTTAACTATAATAAAATTCTTTCTGTTTTGTATTTTGGGACAGGGCTCCTCTGTGTGTTCCTGGCTGTCCTGGAACTGGCTCCTGGAACTCAGTGATCTGACCCCATCTGCCTCCTAAGTGCTGGGGTTAAAGGCATTGGCTGCCACTGCCAGGTAGAATAAATTCTTATTCCCTTTCAGGTAAGAGCTGTTTTGTGTTTGACAACTACTATATTAGCATTATTAAAAATAACTCTTCTGTTTACTTTTCATGTAATTTGTTTTCAATTTTTTTTAGTAATATTACACTTACTGTGTGTGAACGAATGTCATATCGAAATCTGGGAACAACTTGCAAGAATTGGTTCTCACCGACCAATATGAGTTCCCAAGACTGAACACTGTCAAGTTTGGAGACAAACACCTTTACCCCCCTGAGCCGTTAGTTCCCTGACTAATCAGATTGTTTGTTTGTTTTTTGAGACAGGGTTTGTCTGTAGCTTTGGAGGCTGTCCTGAACTAGGTCTTGTAGACCAGGCTGGTCTCGAACTCACAGATATCCACCTGCCTCTGCCTCTCGAGTGCTGGGACCAAAGGCGTGCACCCGCTTTTAAAGAAAATACCCGGGGTGGGGTGGGAAAGGAGTCAACGGGATGACGGGAAGCTCAGTAGCAGAGTGTGTGCTTTACACGTTCAAGGTCTCGGATTAAATCTGAAACAAACCCCAAAACAACACAACCCTAAAAGTTAAAAGCGGGGACTCTAATATACTTACAAGTGAGAAGCTGGAGAGCTGTCCTGAGGGACAGTAGAAACACTGACAAGAAGGTATGTCTGGGTTCAAAAAAGGCTAAATATCAGTGAACTAGGGTGAATTTTCTTGTGACAGGTGGATTGACGGCTGGAAAACATTTGTTTTGAACCAGAAAACCGGGACTCTAAACTCATTTCTGTCACTCTGTGACCTTCATAGGTTGCACCCATGTATCTGGGTGGGCCTTAGTTTTTTGTCTCAGGTTTTAAGTTTCCACGACTTTCAGACCAGGATTCCAGCTTTCACTGCGTTGGTGACCCAATTTTGGAGGAATCTACGGCATCTTCTGCAGTCCAGAAGCGCCAACGAATCCAACGCAGGCACTTCCGGTCGGCGGGAACAAAGAGTCATCTGAAGCACTCAAGGCCTCACTTCCGCGAGACGAAAGCCGCGCAGAGATGTCGAGCCGCAGGCTGCAGACCCGTGACTTGTCATTGGGACTGCTCATGCGCCTCGCACGCGTGAGGTAGGTAGGCGGGGCCCTGGAGGAGGCGGGGCCCGCCCTGATTTGTCTCTCGGTTACTGGACCTGCGGGAGCGCGCGAGCCTTGTGGGCGGTGCTAGGCGGGTCCTACCCCGGGATCACTGGGAGGTGCTGCTCCGAGTGTAGCCGCCGAGGTTGTCTCCGGCCAGGGGTCGCGCCGGAAGTGCTGCGCAGTGCGTCCCGGGGTTGGTAGGAAGCTGCGGGAGGAGTTTAGCCATTCAAGGGGGCGCGGCACTGCTGTTCGTTCTTCACAGCCCCCTGCAGCAGCCATGGCGAAAGGCCGAGTCGCCGAGCGAACGCAGACGGGGGCGTTGCACTCGACCCCGGCGGGGCACCGGGCAACGGGAACGCGCGGTTCCGCCTCGCCAGGCAACAGAGACCACCTGAAGGGTGAGTGGACTTGCGGGCCGGAGCTGAGGCTACCCCAAAGGCCGGAGGGGCGAGTACCCCAGCAGGTCACAAAAAGACGGACCTTTCAGCTGCCAAGGACCGCAGCAGGAGAGTGGTGTACTTGGCCGGGGGACCGCACCGTAGAGGGTCTAGAGGGTCAGACGCCTAGTAGATACTTTCTCAGTAGACCGGTTAAAAGAAGCGGTGACGCTGACTTGTTGAAGCTCAGAGACAATGAGGTTAGTTACCCACGCTACCTACTAGACAGGTGTTTAAGAGTCTTGAGGCTTCATTGCATTCTTTTACAGATGACCAAACTGAGGACTATGCAGGTACATGACTTGTGCAGGGTCACAGCCAAACTAAGGTAGTGATTAAGTCCTTTCAGGTGCCACTTCAAAGTGTCAGATCCTGTGCTTCCATTTACCCTACTTGGTAACTTTGATTTTTGTTTGTTTTTGGTTTCTCGAGACAGTTTGTATAGCCCTGGCTGTACTGGAACTTGCTCTGTAGACCAGGCTGGCCTTGAACACAAGGATCCACCTGTCTCTGTCTCCGACTGCTGGGATTAAAGGTGTGCACCACCACCACCCGGCCCCAGACCCTGCCTTTAAAATAAATAAACAAAACAACTCAAATTCAAGCCGGGGAACACTGTTTTGAAGACTCAAGTGTGGAATAATCCAAGCTCTAGGTTTCTTATTTCAGGGGTGCTATCCAGGCAGGACAAGCCTAATAATTGTCATTTGGCTTGAGATAGTTTCCAGTTGTGTGTTTTTTTGTTTTGTTTTGTTTTTTTGTTTTTGTTGTTCCTTTTAGAGTTACTAAATAATAATAATCAGAACTTTACAAGTTTTTTTTATGGTGGTTTCTTTTATCAAATAACTTGCAAACTACACACACATAAGCCAAAGGATAGAGATTCGCAGAAAAGGTTTTAGATACATCTAGGATAAGGGAAGGGGATTCTGAGCTGGGGGAAAGAGTAGGCTTGAAGGTTAGTGTAACCCCTTTGTGTGTGTCAATAAACAAGTTAGTCTGTCACCAATGGGGGGTTTCTGTAGGGTGGTAGGAGATTAAGTTAGATTATTTGGCAAGGTGTGAGATTATGTTACTTAGGCAAAAAATATTTTAAAAAAGTCTTGTTTATTACTGACTCATCCTCGCCCCCCCCCCCACATACCTTTTCCTAATGTTAGGAATTTTCTCTCTAGAGCAAAAGAATTTGTGCTCTCCCTCCCTTTATTTTTTAATTTTTTGTTTTATTTTTTGAGACAGGGTTTCTCTGTGTAGCTTTGGAGGCTGTCCTAGAACTAGCTTTGGGGCTCAGGCTGGCCTGGAACTCAAGAGAGATCCACCTGCCTCTGCCTCCCCAGTGCTAGGATTAAAGGCATGTATCACCACCACAGCTTGGCTTTGTGGCCCTCTTATGTGATAGGATTTAGTTTACTTCATATTTTTCTGTATTGGTGTTGTTAGTAACTAGTTAGCAACTGATTATCTAGAATTGGAAAAACAATTTTTATTGATTGTCAATAGCAACTTGTCATTCCTAAATAAATAAAAGCAAAATAATTCTAATAACCTTTGATTGAAAACTACTAAGTGATAGACTCTTCTTACAAATTTTGTAGTACTTTAGTGTATGGCTTTTGTTTGTTTTTAAGATAAAGTCTTAGGGGCGGCTGGAGAGATGGCTCAGCAATTAAGAGAACTGGCTGTTCTTCCAGAGGTCCAGAATTTATTCTCATAACCACATCTGTGACTCACAACAATCTAGAATGAGATCTGGTGCCCTCTCCTGGAGTACAGGAATATATGCAGACAGAACACTATACGTAATAAATAATTTAAAGAGTCTCACAATGTATCCCAAGCTGACCTGGAGATCTTTCTTCCTCAGCTTCTATGTACTGAGATTGCCAAGAATGGACCACTATATACCAGGCCTTGAAAGTTTTTTGTTTGTATGAGAGCCGTTTTACTAAATAGACCAGGCTGGCTTCCGTTTTTTTTGGCAGTCTTGTCTCTGTCTTCCCAGTACTGGGATTGGAGACAGGTGCCACCATCAGTGACCTTTTATGTGTGTGAAGTTTTGTTTTGTTTTGTTTTTCTTTTTTTTTTTTCTTGTTTTGGTGTGTGTGTGTTGTTTTATACATGCATATCTGCAGGTGTTTATATTTGGGAGATGGATACAGGAAGTTCAGGAGTTCAAGATTACCTTTGATTACATTTTTAGTTGGAGGCCAGTCTGGTCTACATGAAACAATCTCAAAAAAACAGAAAACATAGAGGTACAATATGGTTAATTTTAATTTTTGAGGCTACATTCATTTATTAACTTACTGAGAGGGATTCTCACTGTGTATAGCCTTGGCTGAACTGGACCTCATTTTGTAGACCAAGCTAGCCTCAAACTTACAGAGATCCATCTGCTTCTGCCTCCTGAGTACTCAAGGTGTATTGAAGATGTTAATGCATGGAAACAGTTCATAGAACAGGATCTAGAAGGAGGGTAGTCTTAACATTGAACAAAAATGTAAGGATAAGACAAGGGAAAGTGGTTTTTGTGAACAGATGGATAGAATGGAGGAGTTGACTAAAGTAAGAGGGTCCTAGGGTACAAGGAGAGTGTTGTGACAGGATTTCCAGATTGAAGCAGGGAAAGGATATGGACTTGTAGGTTGACAAAGCATGACTCTTTCTCAAGCAGTACCTTTGACCTGGCAGGAAGTTGGAAAGGCGGAGAGTTGGATAAGAGTATAATATTAGATAATAATATTAATGGAGCATAGTTGAGTATTGGAAGATTTGGAAGCTAATGCATTTCAAGTGCAGGCATGGTGGTTGCCAGAGCTAAAGCACACCCATCTATCATAATTGTACAAAGATATATTAGGCAGGGCAGTGGTGGCACATGCCATTAATCCAGCACTAGGGAGGCAGATGCAGGTGGATCTCTGTGAGATCCAAGACAGGCTCCAAAGCTACACAGAGAAACCCTGTCTTGAAAAACAAAACAAAAAACAAAAAAATAGTACTATACATGGTACAGATTCAGATGGAAATTACAAAAACAACATTTATAGTTGAATTATGTTCAGAACTGTAAATGGATTGCATGTTACCCTTTAGGTTTGCTAGAATTGAGCAGAAATATTATTAGATCATAGTTATTAGAACTGTTTACTACGTGTGAAAGTAGTAACACCTTTTCTGTGTGTTTTACTTTGCTGGTGAGTATAATGGCTGATGCAGATGGAGGTGGCTTGTTTTCAGTGAAGAGAATAGGTCCAGTTAACCATTTCTGAAACTTGTCCCAGTTGACCCCTAACTTAGGACTGGTGAGTTCTTAATGTAGGGAAAACAGATTAATTTTCCAGATAACATAACAAATGCCTTATTTAAGTTTTAACTTCAAAGCTGGGCCACATGCCTTCAATCCCAGGGCAATGTGTCTCAGGAAAAAAAAAAAAGTTTTAACTTCAAAAAGACTGTTTAAATCCTGAAAATTTATTTAGTAATAACATACAGTACTGGTTAGAAGGTTCTTTCCCTGTCTTTTAATCTTCAACTAAAAATTGCCATTATTGTGTCCACCAAGTAATCTGGCCTTCCTATGAAAATTTTAAGACCTTTTGAATTCCTCTTCGTTATGGCAGTGGTGCCTGCTTCTTGGAAGAAGAGGTTGAACATAATAGATGCTGAGAATACAGAGAAATAATGTTTCAGTCTGTAACTTATGTAGAATTACTAGGAATGAGGAGAAGATCAGCTGTTTGTTCTTAGAATTCATTCTTGTGTCCACAAATGCTTTCACAGTGAAAACTAATTTATTCCTAGTTTTTACTTTAAATTAATGTTAAATTATATTACTATTGCTATGTACTGGTCAAGCAAGCCTTTAATCTCAGCACTTGGGGAGGCAGAGCCAAGCAGATAGATCTCTGTGAGTTCAAGCATAGAGGGAGTTCCAGGACAGCAAGGGCTATACAGAAACCCTGTCGTGAAAAGCCAAAACAAAAAAATTACATTACTTTTAAATACTCTTGAGTTCATGGACTTTCTTCTGATGAAATAAGCTAAAACTTTGGGGTGGAACAAGTTAATTCTAGTAGGTTAAAAATTTTCACATTTACTTATTTATTGGTGGGTAGATAGGACATGTGTGTATGTGCCAGAACACAGTATTCTGAGGTACACATGTGGAGGTCAGAGGACAATTTGCAGGAGTCTGATCTTTCCTTTTTGTGGGCGACAGGGATGAAATTCAGGTAATCTATCAAGTTTGGTGGCAAGTGACTTTACCTGCTGAGCCATCTCCTTAGCCCTGCAGATAGCTTTTAAAATAGTGTGTCTTTAAGAGACAACAGGCAAAAGATTTATGTGTGTGTGTATCATGTCTTTGCTTTGATGACAGTCCACTGAAACCACTAAAACAGTTTTTGTTTGTTTGTTGAGACAGGGTTTCTGGGTTTCTCTGTCTAGCCCTGGCTTTCTGGCTCTGAAGACCAGGTTGCCTCTGTCTCCCGAAATGCTGGGATTAAAGGTGTGGACTACCAAGCCTGATCCTCTTATTCTCTTCTAAGATTACTTTTTTTTTAATTTGATGAGAAAAATAAGTAGCCTTGTGTAAACAAGGTGTGAAGGTGTGTGTGTGGGAGAGAGAGAGAGAGAGAGAGAGAGAGAGAGAGAGAGAGAGGGAGAGAGAGAGAGAGAAGAGAGTGTACTTTTGAGGCAGGGTCTCTTTGTGTAACCCAGGTTTGTCTCCAACTCTCAATTCTCCTGCCTTGGCTTCCCAGGTGCTAGGAATACTTAGGCATGTGTTGCCATACCTTTTATAGGAACAAAAGCTACGTTTTTTGATTAAGTTGGTTTTTGTAATTTGTTTTGTGTGTGGTGTGTATGGTCTATGCATGTGAATGGGTAGGTTTGAGCACTTACAATCATGCATACAGAGCCCAGAACAGAAAGATGTCTTCCTTTAATGCTCTCTGCTTTACTGCCTTAAGACAGAATCTCTTTTACTGAGTATAAGGCTCCCCTTTGGGCAAGGCTGGCTAGATGTGAGTCTGGGGATTCTTTGGAACTCATTATTCATGCCATTTTCTCAGCTTCACAAAAACTGTTTTGTTTTCAAAGGTTTATTTTTATGTGTGTTTGGCTGCAATGTATGTACATGCCCCACATGCCTGTGGAAGCTAGAAGAGGGCATCATATTCCCTGGGACTGGAATTTTGGATGGTTGTGAGCCACCATCTGAGTGCTGAGAACTGAACTTTCAAGAACCGTGAACTGTTTCACCAGCCTCTGCATCCCTATAGCTATTGATTCTTGAGGCAGATGTCTTGTTATCTATCCCAGGTTAGCCACTATTGCACTATCCCAGGCTGACCTTAGACCTTGAGCAATTCTTTCTGAGAGTTGGGTTTATATGTTTGACTTGTAATTTATGTATGTGCATGTTGTATGTACATGTTTGTGTGGGTGTATGCATGTGGAGGCCAGAAGTCACACTGAAGATGTCAGGTATCTTCCTCAACTTTTCTTCTTTTTTTTTTTTTTTTTTGAGATGGGTCCTTACTTTGTAGTCCTGGCTGTCCTAGAACTATATAGATGAAATTGGCCTTCAGTTCAAAGACACTTGCCTTGTCCTGTCCCCTGAATCCTGGGAGATGGCCAATGAGTGGTTCTTAAGCAGTTGATTGGTTTAATGTCATGGTTTTAGGCAAAAGTATTAACAGCTTTTGGGAGGAAAGGATTTGAGGAAGTTATTAGAGTTAGCTTGAAATATGATTTATTAATTACACTTTTTTTTTTTTCTTTCAGACAAACCTTGTGCAGAAGCTGGGTCAGCAAGAATGTCACTCCTTATACTGGTGTCCATTTTCTTATGTGCAGCTTTTGTTATGTTTTTGGTGTATAAAAATTTTCCTCAGCTTAGTGAGTAAGTACACAACAAGAGAAACTAAAAATGTCTATATATTTTAGAGATGAAGTGAATTAAAAGCTAAATTTCCTTTAGCAACACTACTATTACAGTACTTGAATACCACCTCCTATGCATTATAGAAGTCCATGAGCATTGTTATATCATATTTTCCACCTTCCTGCCCTTTTGTTTTTTAGACAGATTCTCTTATCTCTTCTTGGATTTAAACTCCCTGTTTTCACGAAGAATGACATGGTCTGAGTTATAGGCATGTGTCACTATCCCAAATTTTCATTCAGGGTTTATTGTATGTTAAGCAAACAGTCCACCAATAAAGATATTCCTCTCTCCCTCTGCCCCCCCCAGGCCTCCTACCTTCCTTTGTTTCTTTTTATTCCTTCCATGCGTCTTCCTTTAACAGACACAAAATTAGAATTTGTTAAGAAAAGGATAGGACAAGTGACAAGTGTGGTGACACTAGCCTTTAACCCCAACATTCCAGGAACAGAGGTTGAGGTAGGTAGATTTTTGAGTTCCAGACCAAAATTGTCTACAAAGAACAGGGTAATGGTCTACATCTAAGGGTTACCAAAGGTTTCTAAAGGTAGAAAATTACTTTCCTTGACTCTTGATTTTTTTTTTTTTTTTTTTTTCTTTTAATCTGTGGAAGACTTTCCTAGTATGGTTCCCTAATTAAGGAATCATCTTTCTAGTGGCTTTCAAGTTGCTTCCCCCCCCCCCCCAACATGATTGTCAGAAGACATTTTATTAACTTGTGTGTATGGGCATGTATTTTGTTTTGTATTTTTGAGACAGGGTCCATGTAGCCTTGGCTGTCCTGGAACTCTGTACCATTCTGGCCACAACATCAGATATCCTGGCCTAGGTCTCCTGAGTGCTGGGATTAAAGGTGTGCACAACCATTGCCTGGCTTATTGGTATACTTTTTGAGTCAAGTTCTTTTTGTTGTTTTGTTTTCTTGGTTTTTGTTTTTTTTGAGACAGGGTTTTTCCTGTCTGTCCTGGGACTTGCTTTGTAGATGAGGTTATGCTGAACTCACAAAGATCTGGTTGCCTCTGCCTTCCAAGTGCTGGAAATAAAGGTAAAGGCGTGTGTCACTACTGCCCTATGAGTTAAGTTCTTTTAATATAGCTCAAGCTGGTCTTGAATTTTAAGGTCTTCCTGCCTCTTCTTTCTGAGTGTTGGAGTTGTGTTTCTTACCATGCCCTGTGAGATTTTTATATTGTGACTCTATGCATGTGATTTTCAATGTATATTTTTAAATCTTCTTTGTGTGAGCTGAGAATGTATGTTTATATGTATGTATATAAATTTTTGAAGCAGAATTGAAGTTTTTATTAGAGACATTTTATACAGATCTTTCACATAGAATTGATTAATAGAGGCTCTCAGGAAGAAAGTTAGCATAGCCATGTGGGCTTCTTAAAGGAGAGTTGCCTGCCTGTTTATATTAAGCTAGTAATAACTTTTTTGAGACAGGGCATGTATGTATATATGCATCCATCCCATCCTTTCATCTATGTAGCCCTCATTCTGGAATGAGGCTACTACTCACGATACATATTAAGCAGGTCTAAAACTACAGAGGTCCTCCTGTCTTTGCTTCCTGACATGAATTTAAATTTAGATCCTTTTTTGCTTTTGATACAGAATAGGAAATAAAGAGCTGATTTAAGATAATCTTTGCTTCCAATCTAAGTAATTACATACTAGTAGAAAATAATGTAGCCAAGTATCTTTTCTAGTCTACTATTTTTCTATATATTTCTTTGTGTATATGTGTGGGCTGCATACTTCTTTAGAGTCTAGTTTTAAATTTCATCAGCAAGAAGCCATTTTAGTTATTTAAATATTTTTATAGTACTTAAGAAAGATAGCGTGCACATGCCTTTAATCCCAACACTGAGAAGGCAGAAACAGGTGAATCTCTGTGAGTTTGAGGCCAGTCTGGTCTACAAAGTGAGTTCCAGGACAGGCTCCAAAGTACAGAGAAACCCTGTTTTTTTTTTTGGGGGGGGGAAAGAAAGAAAGGTAGCATTTAGCCAGGTATGGTAGTGTACGTCCCATCAAGCTAGCTATTTAGTCTGAAGCAGGAACATCAGTAGATCCATAAACCCTAGATTAGCTTGAGATCAAAAACAAAAAAGAAAATAGCTTTTCGTCATTATCCTGCAATGGAAACAACATAAAAAGTATATTAAATTCAAAGATGGCTTTAATTTTATTATGTATTTGAATTTTTTTTTAGGGTCTTACTATGTAGCCCTGGCTGTCCTGGAGCTCACTAAGTAAACCAAGCTGACCTTAAACTCATAGAGAACCACCTGCCTCAGCTTCTGGAGTCCTGGGATTAAAGGTGTGTGGTACCACCTCCCAGTTTATTTAACTTTTCTCCTGAAATAGGGTCTTAATTTGTAATCCTGGCTGCCCTGGAATTTACTATGTTGACCAAACTAGACTCTTAATCTGCCTGCCTCAGCCTCCTAGTGCTGGGATTAAAGACATTCACTACTACATCCTGCTTACTCCATTTTTTTTTTTTTTTTTTTTGAGACATTGTCTTCCAATGAAGCCCAGGCGGCTGTCTTCAAACTCCTGTCTCAGCCTACACACTAATTGGGGTTATCTAGTAGCTGGTTACAATTGTGTTCTGCCTCCCCTGGCTTTTTACTTTTCCCTTGCTATTTTCCTTTCTATTTGCTGCCTTATTTAGAAATAAATGATTTTTTGCTTATAAAAATTTCAACTGGGGGTTTGAGTCCAGCCTTGTCTATGTAGGGAATGCTAGGCCAACCAAGTTTACCTGGTGAAGCCCTGTCTCAGAGAGGAGAGGTAGAAGGTTAACTTTTCACTTACCCTTTTCCTTTTTGGTTTTTCAAGACAGGGTTTCTCTGTCCTAGAACTCTTCTGTAGATCAGGCTAGCCTAGAGCTCTCAGTGTGCCTGTCCTTATCTCCTTAGTGCTGGGATTAAAGCATGTGCCAACACTGCTGTGCACATACGCTTTTAAATTAAAATTAAAGTCAATATTGAAAGAAATGTTTTTAATATTTGGTTTGTATCATTTTGGACGTGTGTGTGTGTGTGTGTGTGTGTGTGTAGATTGTAAATCTAAAAAATGTGAATTTGTCCTTATTACAGATCAATTACATTGCATCATTTTGGTATAAAACTCCCATGTTTTGAATTTGACTTTGATTTTTATTATAGAATTCTGGTTTCTAAAATTTTTACATTATCAATTTTATTTCTTTAGAGAAGAAAGAGTGAATATGAAGGTTCCAAGAGATATGGATGATGCCAAAGCTCTAGGAAAAGTTCTCTCCAAATATAAGGACACCTTTTATGTACAAGTATTGGTCGCTTATTTTGCTACATATATTTTGTATCCTTTTATCTGAAAAATGTTTTCTAATTTCTTCAAAATAAGATCCTAAAGGTCTACTGTTTTAAGTAATGACTGTTTTCCTTTTAAAATGTTAATGCAGAGGCCAGTGAAATGGTTTAGCAGATAAAGGAGATTGCTGCTAACCAAGCACGTCCTAAATTTGATTCTTAGGACCACATGGTAGAAGGGAAGAACCTGCTCCTGGAAGTTGTTCTTTGATCTCTATACATTCCATTTATATCCACATACACAAATTAATTTAATATTTAAAAGTAAATGAAACTTTTTTGTTTGTTTGTTTTGAGACAGGGTGTCAATGTGTAGCCATTGTTTACCTGAAACTCTAAGCCAGACTGTCCTTGAACTCATAGAAATCTATTACTGCAGCCTCCCAGTGTGCTGGGATTAAAGGGGCTAGCCACTAACATTAGGGCGTGAGCTCCCAAACTTTAAAACTCTGGGACCCTGTGGTTGTGGTGAATGCTTTTAATCTCAGCATTCCAGAGGCAGAGGCCAGCCTGGTCTAAAACAGAGCAACTTCTAGGACAGCCAAGGCTACACAGAGAAGCCCTGTCTCAAAAAACCAAACAAATAAACAAAATCCCAAAGATACAAAAAAAAAACTCTGTTGGGGCGTTGTTGGCTCACACCTTTTATCTCAGCATTCTGGAGCCAGAGGCTGGCAGATCTCTGAGTCCTATCAGCCTCAGTCTGGTCTACACAGTGACATCCAGGGCTGTGTTATGTAGTGCAGTGATTCTCAACCTTTGGGGGTTGAATGTCCCTTTCACAAAAAGTACAGATATTTACATTACGATTCATAACGGTAGCAAAATTATAGTTATGAAGTTGAAACAAAAAATTTATTATGGTTGGGAGTCATCACAACATGAGTAACTGTATTAAAGGAACGGAACATTAGGAAAGTTGAGAACCACTGATTTAGAGGCCCTGTCTCAAAAACCAAAACCAAACAGCAATATCTTTTGAAAAGGTAAAAGGGGAAAATTTTTACTTCAGTGCTGTTTAAAGGATTTATAGCTGAGTGTGGTGTTAATCCCTGAACTTGTGACAGAGGCAGGCAGATGGATTTCTGTCAGTTCAAGTCCTGGTCTACAAAGCAAGTTTGGGGACAGTCAGGGTTGTTACGCAAAGAATTCCTAGTCTTGAAAAACAAAATAAATATTTATTTTAAGATGCATGTTGGTGGTTTGCCATGGGTGTTGGGTTCCCTGAAACTGGAGTTACAGACAGGTGTGTGCTGCTCCTGGTAGTTGGTGGGGATTGATCCCCAGTCCTTTGGCAGAATAGGTGGTGCTGTTAACCTCTGAGCCATCTCTCTAGTCCCTGGAATATGTATTTATCATTTTTATAGGTTATTAATCTTTAAATTTTAAGTAATTATGCTCAAATATGAGCTACTATATCATTAATTTTTTGTATGTATATGGGTATTTTACCTACAATGGATGTCTGGTGCCTCACTTGTGAGTGGTGCCCTTACAAGTCAGAGAGAGCACTAGATTCCTGGAACTGGAGTGAGAGTCTGTTGTGATACCCCATGGGGGTGCTGGGAGTCTGGAAGAACACCAGTGTTTTTTTGACTGTTGAGCCATCTCTCTAGCCCATATCATTATTTTTCAAAGTACTCTTTTAGCTTGGGTAATTATTTAATTCTATAAAACAGTGTTTAGAAATTTATCAGTGCTGCTCAATATGGCATACACTTATGCATTTAGTTTAACTTTTTAAGCAATCCAGCAAGTTTTATTATACACAATTAGTATTCATTTGACAAATAGTATTAATTTCACCTGTTCAAATTTTTATTTAATAGGTTTATATATTTTATATATATGTGTGTGTGTATGTATATATATATGGATGGATATTTGTTCTGTGTGTTCTATTGCACACCAGAAGAGGTCATCTGATCGACTGAGACTACAGTTATAGATGCATGAGAGTCACCATGTGGGTGTTGGAATTGAACTCAGGACTTCTGAAAGAGTATCCAGTGCGCCTGACAGATAAGCCATTTCTCCAGCCCTTTATTTTTATTTTATTATGATGTGTGAACACACCCGTATGGAGGTCAGAAGACAACTTTGTAGAGTCAGTTCTTCCCCCGCCTTTACATGGGTCCTAGGGAGTACACTCAGACTGTTGGGATCAAGCTCAGGTTGTCGAGATTGCATGACAAACACCAGTGAGCCATCTTGTCAGCCCGTTTTAGGTTTTTGTGGGTTGGGGGTGGTGTTGTTTTTTTTTTTTAATTTGTTAATCCCTTTTTGTAAAATACTCTTGTTTATAATTGTGTGTGTATATGTGCTCATGCTATGTGGAGGTAATGGACAATTTTGTGGAGTTGATTTTTTTTCTTTTTTTTTTTGGTTTTGATTTTTTTTTTTTTTTGGAGACAGTTTCTCCGTGAAACAGTCCTGGTTGTCCTGGAACTCCATCTGTAAGCCAGACTGGCCTTGAACTCAATGAGATCCACCTGCCTCTGCCTCCCAAGTGCTGGGATTAAAGGAGTTCCATGCTTCTATTTTTTGGTTTTAAGATTGGAGTCTCTGTTCATATCTCTGACTGTTCTGGAACTTGCTCTGACTGTCCTCAAACTCAGAGATCCTTCTGCTTCTGCCTCTGCCTCCCAAGTACTGAGGTTAAAGGTGTGCATCACCCCACACACAGCCCAGTTTTCTCTTTCTACTTCTTTGTAGTTCCAAGGATGAAACTTAAGTCACTAGGCTCCAGAGCCCCTTCTTGTACATTGGAATATTAAACTCTCAATATGAAAAGATGCAATTTTTTTTTTTTTTTTTTTTTTAAGCCAGTGGTTGTGGTGGCAGCAGGTAGCAGTGCACGCCTTTGATCCCAGCACTCAGGAGGCATAGGTAGGCAGATCTCTGAGTTTGAGGCCAGCCTGATCTATAGAGAAAGTGCCAGGACAGGCTCTAAAGCTCCACAAACCCTGTCTTGAAAAATTAAAAAAGAGAAGATGCACTTTTTAAATTGAGTAAACAATAGGGAGAGATTTGTTCTTGGTGCATATTTACAAAGATTTCGTTTTACTAGCACAAGGCTATTAGAACCAGGTGAGCTATCTAGACACATGAGAAAAAGTAATACTTGAAATTTAACTTCTGTGTTGTACTGCAGTCTATGTGTCAGATAATTGTATCATTTCAAAATTCAATCCATGTGAATGCTGGCATGTCCGAGATTGATCACAGACCTCCAATGCACTGAGTACCTGCTTCATTACTGATCCTTAGTCCAACTCCTAAAAATTATTGATGGGATTTAATTTCGTCTCTTACTTTTTTTGAGTTTTTTGTCTTTGTTTTGTTTGAGACAGGGTCTCATTGTATAGCCATGGCTGACCTGGAACTTGCTATGTAGACCAGGCTGCCTTTGAACTCAAAAAGATCTGCCTGTTTTTCCCTCCCCAGGGCTGAGATTAAAGGTGTGTGTTACCTAGATGGCCCTCCTCTTTCTGTACTATTTCTCTAAAATATACTCTTTAGTTTATATTCATAACACATTTCAACTCAGACTTGCCACCTATCAGTGTCTTAAGTAGCCATATAGCTCCTATAGTGTCTTAAACTTATATATACATTTAAAAAAATTGGTGAGTGTGTGTGTGTGTGTGGGGGGGGGGTGTTTGCTTTAAGACAGGCTCACATGTAACCTAGCCTGCCCTCCAAATTTGCTATATAGCCAGTAAAAACAGTGTACCCCTTATCCTTCTGAATCTACTTCCTGGATGTTGGGATTTTCACATTTGTTACTATGCTTGGCTATACTTTTATTTTGCTTTTTGGCTATACTTTTAAAAGTTTCTTACTTTAATCCCAGTGTTCATTCATTTAACCAGTTTTTTAAAAAGTGGTAAATGTATACTAAGTACATATCCTTTGTTTGAGTATTAAAAAACAAAGTTATTAAGCAGCTGGAATAATGGGAGAATGATAGGGTTAGTACAGCCAGTCTACATTAGCACATATTAGTATGCTTTTAATCGCTGCACTAGGGAGCAGAGGCAGGTGGATCTCTTGAGTTTGAGCCTAACTTGGTTACAAAGAAGGTTCCAGGGCAGCCTGGGGCTACAAAATGAGACTCTCAAAAACAACAAAACAAAAACCCCAAAACAAAAAAAAGATATTACTAAAGATCTTTTTTTTGGCCAAGCTGCCTAATTTCTCTTGCCCAGTGTATTAGGTGTTTATCCTGGATTTCCTTTTAGCATAATCTTATCAACACTGTGTTTATTTGCTTGCTTAAGTTTTGTATTATTAGTCAGTGGGTAGCTCTCTTAGAGCTGTAGGCATTCATTATCCTTTACTATAAGTTTAGTATTCCTAGTCCCCAAACCAGTATCCAGAATCTCCAAAGTATGCAACTTGTTTTAGTCCAGATATGATACCACAAGTAGAAAAACCTGCCTGAGCTCCTGGGGCAAGTTTCAGTCCAATACAAAGTAATAATACTACATAAAATTACTTTGGGGTTATTAACATAATTTCTGAATTGTAATTTACTTCAGATGTTGACTTTTTCTTGTGAAAATTCCACATCATTATGTTTTAATCCTTAACTTAGAAGTTAACAGTTTGCAAACATTTGCTATTCCAGGTTCCATATTTCTCAGTATACTCTCGGGGTTTCTTTATCCCTTTCCACTAGCCTTATTCCTTGTTTGTTTGGTAAGTATATGAAGTGAATTGGGAGACTGGGAAAAATAAATAGAACATTGAGGGTGATTAACATACTTGTGATTCCTGTTAAATCTGTCATAAGGAGCTGTTGAGAGTTTGGTTTTCTCTGGGTGGTGGTGGCACAAGCCTTTAATCTCAGCACTTGAGAGGTAGAGGCAGGTGAATCTCTGTGAGTGCAAGGATTCAAGGCCAGCCTGGTCTACATGGAGAATTCCAGGATAGTCAATACTGTTACACTGAGAAACATAACTGTCTCAGAAAAATAAAAGAGTGTGGGTGGACACAGTGAGTCCCTGGGCTGGAAGTAGTATCTTTATGCATAGCTATAGGGGAGGGTAGGAAGGGCTATTTTATTCTGTTTGTTTGTTTGTTTTGAGATAGGGTTTCTCTTTGTAACAGCCCTGGCTTTATGTTTTCAGTGTTCTGGACTTGGTGCCTCATTCTGCTACATGCTGTCCTATTTAGTTGGAAGACCTGTTGTATACAAATACCTAACAGAGAAAGCAGTAAAATGGTCACAGCAGGTAGGCATATACTTCAGTTTTGTCATCATTTAAAAAAAATGTGGTAAGAAATTTTTTAAAACTTTTATTTTTGTTCTTTGAGAATTTCATGCAGTGTGTTTTGATTATATTCACACATGCCTATTTTCTCGTTATGTATCCCTGGTGGGCCTCAGTGTGTAGGTCAGGCTAGTGTCAGATTCACCTCTATTAACTCCCTACTTCTGCCTCTAGAGTGCAGGGATTAAAGGCTTGGGCCACCACTCCTACAAGAACTTTATTTTAAAGCATGTGATGGTTAGTTTAAATTGTTGACTTGACACAAAGTAAAATAATCTTGGAAGAGAAACTCAATGAGGAATTGTTTAGATTGGATTGGCCTGTGGGCTTTTGTGGAATTTCTTAGCTGGGTTATTTGAGATGGGAAGACCCACCCTGAAAGTGGTCAGTACCATTTCAGGGGCTGAGTTCTGAACTGAATGAAAAGGACAGCAAACTAAGTACTAGCTGTCTTCAACAATGTGTCTTCATTTTATTCAACCCAAATCTGACTCTACTCTCTGCCATTCCTTCAATACTTTTTGTCCTTCCTATATTTTCTATCCCCCACCCCAACATACTAATTCTAATTAGTGTTGCCTGCATGTTTGTGGGTGTAGGATCATCCACTGGAGCATAAGTAACCTACCACCTCAGAAGAATGACCCCCTCTCTCCTAGCAGCTACCAACTACCAGTAGCTAGAGGTATATAACCTCATAAATCCTCTCCATCCATGCTGGAATGTTTACTGTGCAATTAAACATTGCTTAATCTTGTGCAAGTAGCCATAGCTGTTGAGTGCAGTGGCCATGTTACTCCTGACATCTTTTCACAGTATTCCTTTCCATCTTTTCTTCTTCTGTAATGTTTCCTCAGACTCATTTAGGGCTGAGCACTCAGCTATTGATGTTTAATAAGGATCAGAAGAAACAAATAGGACAAATAGATGTTTATTCAGGGAGAAATAACTTACAACATAGACAGGTGAACACCAGCAGGTTCCTGGTCCCAAGGATACCTCCAGATGTACTCCTGTCCTGTGCTGCAAGCAAGAGAGCTCTTAGAGCCCCCCCCCCCCTCAGACTTAGTTCCCCCAGGTTCCCTGTCTCCACCCCCCAATGGGCGTGGTCTATATCACAGGTGAATATCTCAGTACATTCAGCAGACACTTGTCAGCACTTTTTCCAGTTATGACTCTGCATTGCTGTCTACTGCAAAAAAGCTGTTTTGAAAGCAGCACTAATCTACAGATATAAGCATGAAGATTTAGAAGGCTTTGAAAACATATACATTTAGCAAGACAATAGTTGACCAGGTTGAATTTGTTATATGACATTTCATACATGTATACAATGTATTTTGATCATCTCTACCTTCTGTTTCTACACCTTAACTCCTTCTAGATTAACTTCCCAAAACACCCCTCCCTTCTTTTTCTTTTTTCTTTTTGAGAGACAGGGTTTCTCTGTGAAACAACCCTGGCTGTCCTGGAACTCACTTTTATAGACCAGGCTGGCCTTGAGCTCACAGATATCGGTTCTCTCTACCTCCCAAGTGCTGGGATTAAAGGTGTGCATTAGCACCACCCAGCTATGTTTTTTTTCCCTTTATCGTGCAGTGTCCAGTTGGTGCTGTTCATGTGCCAATAGATATGGAGAACCCTGGTTTATGTTTAAATTATGGATTATAAGTAGGTAGGTAGTCCCTTTGAAAAAAGTTTGTGTTTTTATATAAATATATGCATTTATATATTTGATAATTTTATGTATGAAATTTATTTATAAAAATTATCTTTTGACAGGAATATTAGTGGAATGCAAATATGAACGTCCATACTTGTCATGATTATATTCTCTCTCTTTCTCTTTTGTTGGTGTTCTGCTGAGAATCCAGACCCTCACTCTACAAAACCTAGCGATTTGCCACTGAACTGCATACCCAACTCCTGTGACTTTTTTTGTTGTTATGAGAAGGGGTCTCACTGTGTATCCCTAGCTGGCCAGGAACTCATAGTGCTAGGATTAAAGGCTGGGTCACCACCACCTGGCCAAATTTTATTTTTTTATGTATGTGTATATATCCATGTCTGTGGAGGCCAAAATCGTGTCAGATCTTCTGGAGCTGGGGATGCAGGTAGTTAGTTGTGAGCCACCTGATATGGGTACTGTGAACTCAGGTCCTCTGGAAGAACAGCAGGTGCTCTTGACTATTGAGCTGTTTTTCTGGCCCCAGTAATTGTACTTTTTTTTTTTTTTTTTTTTTTTTTTTTTTTTTTTTGAGACAGACTGTCATGTAACCCATGCTGGCCTTGAATTCCTGATCTTCCTGTTTCCAACTCTTCACATTAGTTTTGTCTGTTTTGTTTTAAATCAGTTAGAAGTCATTGCCAATATGAAAGCATCCCAAAATTCATCGCTTCATGTTTTGTGCAGACGTAGCATATGTTCAGTTGGTATCTGAAAAGCCTTCAGTTTACTGCTCTTAAGCATTTCAGTAGGAAAACTGCTATTTTCAGTCAGGATCTCTGAAAAGACTAGCAATGATTAATATACTGTACACAGGAAAATGCTACCATAATCTCTGTGGTATATTATACCCTTTGTGACCAATGCTAGAGAAAAACAGGCATTATTTTGTTCGTTCTGGGCCAGTGGTGGGACAGAACATTGAGGAGGTTTGTGGCAGTGTCTTTTCACCTCAGGGCAGAGAGGAACCCAAGAGAGGATCCTGGGTGGAACCAAGATACAATTCTAAGCACACCCTTCAGCCAGGGTGTGGTGGCATGCTCCTTCAATCCCAAGCACTCAGGAGGCAGAGGCATTGGGGTGTTAAGAGCAGTTTTCCCACCAGCCTGGTCCCAGAGCTGCATCAGTCCCAGATAACACACAGAGATGCTATATTACATATAAAGCTGTTGGCCTATTGCTAACATTTCTTATTGGCTAGCTCTGTCTTAAATAATAACCCATTTCTATTAATCTAAGTGTTTCCACGTGGTCTTACCTTACCTACCGGAGAGAGGGTCCGGACCTCTTTTCTCAATTCCCTTTATCTTGACTCTCCTCTACCTCATCTTCCAGAATCCTCCTTGTCTCCTAGTCCTGCCTAGTTTGCCTTCCTATTTGCCAACAGTGCTTTGTTTCATTAACCAATAAGGGAAACATATTTACAGAATGACATCTTCCATCATTGAACAGATCTCTGAGTTTGAAGGCAGATTGGTCTATAGATGGAGTCCTAGGACAGCCAGGGTACTTAGAGAAACCCTGTCTCAAAAAACAAAACAAAACAAAAACACCCTTCAAGTAGGTAACTTTCTTCAGCTAGGCTCTACCACCCAGTTTCCATAAGCTTTGGTAGTTATACAAATTAGAGTTCTAGGCTTCAATACATTAGAGTTGCTGGGGGACATTTTACTTTCAAACAATAACAGGAGAATTCTAGTTTTACAAAAAGATAAAAAATAATTGTGGCTCAGTAAATACAGGGATCCTTCCTCAGCTCCATGTTTTAGAAAAGAAATGAAAGTTTTGTATTTTCCTTCAATTTGTGGTCAAGGATTTGGAAAATATTTGAAATCCAATGGATATATAGAATTTTAGTTTACACTTTTATTCTAGTTCCTTTTTATTATGTGTACTGAATATTAATTTTATATGTAAATTTTAATTAGGAATATCTGTTTTGTATAAGTGATATTACTAGTTACACAAATATAACTAATTAGTATTTAGTATTTATATTTAATGAAAATTTGTTTACTTATTTAAGTCACTCACATAATAGCATAAGATGAAGAGAATATGAAATTTTTTAAGAATTGGAAGCTGGAGGCTAGCATGAATGAGTCCCTAGGACCATCCCCTCCTATAACCATAATAATTAAAATTAGGGCTGATAAAATGCCTCAGTCTGTAAGATCATGGTCCCAAAAGTCTAATAACTGAGTTTGATCCCTGGGATTTATGTAAAGGTGAAGGAAAAAAATAAACTTTAACTTTGTGTGTGTGGTGGTGGGGGGTTGGAGGGGTGTTTCTGGGTATTTAACCCTGAGCTTTGCACATGGTAGGCAAATGCTGTACCACTGACTTACATACCCAGAAAAACACACATTGTTTCTGTTGGGTAAATTGTGATGTATCATGAACGAGAATTTAAGGTATTTTCTATTAAGCAGCTTATTTTCAATATTTATCTTAACTTATATCTGTTCTTTTCTAATTACAGGTAGAACGTCATAGAGAACATCTCATTAACTACATTATATTTTTGAGGATCACACCATTTCTGCCTAATTGGTTTATTAATATTACGTCTCCTGTGATAAATGTGCCATTGAAAGTGTTTTTTATTGGCACTTTTCTAGGTAAGACCTCTGGTTCATGCTGTGTGACAGCTCATTGTGTGCATGTCCAACTGTCCAGCTGGCCTAGATTGCCTGCTGTGTGCAAAATCACCAGTTACCAGATATAAGTCTTTGGCAGAGAGCCTGGCCTACATAAATAGCTTTTTCAGTGTGTTTTATATGTTACCTCTGTAAAGAATGAGCACTTTCTATTAGATATTATTTTAGTGTGTGTGTGTCTGTCTGTGTGTGTGTGTGTGTGTGTGTGTCTGTGTCTGTGTGTGTCTGTGTGTGTCTGTGTCTGTGTCTAGGACTCAAACCTGGGCTTGCCTGTGCTGAGCCAGCAACTCCATACCACTACATCTATACCATATCCTTAGCTCAAGGAGAACTTTTTATTTCCACCCCAACTCTGGTCCAGCAGCACTTTCTTCCTTTGACAGCTGGAGCCAATTAGACCAGAGATGACAGGCTCTCAGGGCCATGAGCTTTATTGGCTGAAAGCTCTTTTTATGAGCCTGGACTGCATGTTATCTGGTGAGCATCCCAGGCTCCAGGTGCCCTCTGGCTTTCCAAAGGACTTGGTGAGTGATGACTAGTAACTGGACAAACAACTTTTTCCTAGTACTTTCTCAGATGCACAAATTTTGCTATGTCCCTAGCCTGATTCTTTCCTTTTCTTTTCTTTTCTTTTCTTTTATGACAGGGTTTCTCTGTGTAACCGTCCTGGCTGTTTTGGAACTTGCTTTGTAGATCAGGCTGGCTTTGAGCTCACTGAGATCTGCCTGCCTCTGCCTCCCAAGTGCTGGGATGAAAGGCATGTTCCACCACCATCCAGCCTAAACTGTTTTTTTTTTTTTTGTTTTTTTGTTTTTTGTTTTAATCTGCACTGTCTATCTCATTAGACAGAAACATTTAGTTTCTGCTTTTGAACTTTTTCATTCAAATCAAATACTGAAATCAGTTTATTACTGGTTATTATTAGAAATCTAGGAAAAGTAAAATCAGCAGACATCAAGGAGTTGATATCAGATTTTGGAATGAGTAAATGGATATAACAATTCATTTCGGAGAGTTGAGTGCTTGCCTAACCACCATACACAAGGGCCTGGGCTTGACTGCAAAAAAACAACAGCAAAACCCCAACTTTTGTGAATTCTGCCTTTCTTTCTTTATAATTTACTTTGTATGTACATTGGTGTTTTGCCTGCATGTCTGTCTGTGTGAAGATATGGGATCCCCTAGAGCAGGAGTTATAGACAGTTGTGAGCTGCCATATGGGTGCTGGGAATTGAATTTGGGTCCTCTCTGAGAACAGCCAGTGCTCTTAATCACTGAGCCATCTCTCTAGCCCCTGAATTCTGCTTTTCTTTGGGAAGAGCACTGTTTTTCTTTGCAGTTTAAATAGCTTAGATTTAGCATATGGGGTTTTCATGTATTGAATACTTGTTAAAGTTTAATACTTGTGTGTTCTGAGGCTTTTGTTGTTGTTGTTTGCTTTGTTTTTTTAGTTGTGTTTGAGGGAGAGAATATGCATGTGAGTGTAGGTACCTGTGGAGGTCAGAGGCATCATTTCTCCCTGGACCTGAAGTTCTGGGTGTTTATGACCCATCCAACATGGATGTTGGGAACAGAACCCTGATCTTCTGCAAGAGCAGCAAACATTCTTAACTACTGGGCCATCTTTCCAGTCCTTGTATTTACTTCATATTATAAATGCTGTGCCTCCCTAATAGTGGTTCGAATTATTGAGATGATTGATTTTATATTTATTTATTTATTGGTTTCTTTTCAAGACAGGGTTTCTCTATGGTTTTGGAGGCTTTCCTGGAACTAGCTCTTGTAGACAAGGCTGGCCTCAAACTCTCAGAGATCTGCCTGTGTCTGCCTCCCAAGTGCTGGGACTAAAGGCCTGTGCTACCACCGCCTTTAGTCCCAGCACTTGGGACTAAATCAGGGATGATTGACTTTTAAAACATACTAAAGTTGTGAAGTTAATCTCTGGATGACATTTTTTTGTTTTTTGTTTTTTGGTTTTTTTTTTTTTTTTTTTTTTTTTTTTTTTCATTTTATCTTCTCAAATTTTCTGGCTTTTAAAAATTTCATTATTCTTAGGAAGTGACTATGACAAACTGAATTACTTAAGGAAACTAACTATACTTAAGGAGCTTGAAGTTTTCTACCCATCTAGTGAGCCATCTCACTAACTTGTGCTTTGGAATATTAAACTGAATATGAAAAGGTTCACCTTTTAAATTGAACATTGGCATGAGATTTGATCTTGGTACATATAACAAATGAGGACAAGTAACACCTGAAGTTAATTTTACTTCCATGTTGTGCTTGAGTTTATATGTCAGATAATTTTGTCATTTCAAAATGTAATTCATATGCTAGACAGTGGTGGTGCATGCCTTTAATCCCAGTACTCAGAAGGCAGAGGCAGGTTGGTCTCTGAGTTCAAGGCCAGCATGGTCTACAGAGCTAATTCCTGGACAATCAGGGATACACAGAAAATTCCTGTCTCAAAACAAAAACAAAACATAATGTAATTCATATGAGTGGTGTGTGTTAGGATTGTTCCAAGACCTCCTGTTGCTAAGTACCTGCTTTAAATTCTTAATCCTTTCTTCAAAATGCAAATAGCTGTGTTCCTAAAAGACAATATATGTACATAGAGATTTAATTTTTAAAATGTGATTTAGGGATTCTGGATGGATGGCTCAGTGGTTAAGAGTGCTTGTTGCACTCAAAGAGGATATGGGTTCTGTTCTCAGTATCCATATGGAAGTTCATACCTACCTGTCTGCAACTCTAGTTCTAAGGATCTGATGCCCATTTCTGGACTCGATGGGCACTACATGTACATGGTGCACTTACATACATGTGAGCAAAACATGTATACATTTGGGAAAAAAATTGGTGATTTATACTTTGACAGTCTGCCAGTGCCACTCACTTGCTATTTTTTGTTTTTTGTTTTAGGTGTTGCACCTCCCTCTTTTGTAGCAATTAAGGCAGGAACAACTCTGTATCAGCTTACTACAGCAGGAGAAGCTGTTTCCTGGAACTCAGTATTTATTCTAATGATTTTGGCTCTTCTTTCTATTCTGCCAGCCATCTTCCAAAAAAAACTAAAACAGAAATTTGAGTAAAAATCATGAGTTTTTGTTTACCACTACCATCACTACCGTCATCATCATCTCAGGATTAGCAGGCTATCCATTTTATGTTTTGAAATCACCTCTTCAGAAACTGAAAGAAGATATGTAAAGTAAAACGTCCCACAGTTAAAATATTACAGTTGTGTGGCAAGAGAGAAAGAAGTACTGTCTTTGTGCGCTGTCTCTTAGAAAATACTGAGACATAATTCCTATAGCTTAATTTGGGATTTATTGAATTTGTTGGTTTTTTTTTTTCTTCTTTTTTTTTTTTTTTTTTTTTTTTTTTTTGTCTAACTAATAACTAAAATAGTGAACTTGGGTGCAGGGCCACATACATGTAACCCTAACAGCTCAGTATACTAAGGCCAGAGGATTGCTAGTTTGAGACCAGCTTGAGCTATGCTACAAGGCCTTTTATTAAAGTAAAACAAGGAACAGTGAAATCAAATAAAATAAAAATTCGGAGCACAAACCGAATACTTAAATAAAGCAAAAAGGGGGCTTTATTTTCTTTCTCTCTTGCAGACAGCACTTTTCTTAGGCTATAGTGAATGTACCAAGGGTGAGTTTATTTAAGTTTTCCTTATAGATTTTTTTTTTATCATGGATTAGTCTGATAATTTAAATTCTGGCCAGTCTGTTTTCATCCTTTTCCTAGGTTTTACAGTATTTCCACCATACTTATATAAAATGAGAATTATATGCTTGTATCATACTGGTGTTGATAATGTATATTCAGATTATAATATTTTGTTACAGTGTCTTTATTATCTCAAAGGGGTTCTAAAAGTAAGTACTCGAAGCATATAGTTTTTAGACATTATTTTATACTGAAACATCTGGCAGAAGCATTAATAGTTAAGTCTAGTTTATTTGTTGTAATGACTGTAAATTTTGCCTCATTAATGTCTGCTCATTAAAGAGTGTATTCTGTAACTCCTTTTATGCATGATAATCTGTGGATTGCTTCGTTGCCTTTTACTGATAACTTCCTATTTGGGACAGCACTTGATTAGCACAATTGCCCAACTGTATAGCTTTTACTTTCTTACCTCACAGAGTAAAACAATTTCTTGGAAGAGACTCCTTTTGGCTGCCTGGGTATGCCCTTCATTCCTTGCCAAGACAGAATGATGTAAAGCACTTTAAGATCCAGTTGGTGTCTTAAACAGTTACTTTAGTGGTATGGGAAGTCCTTGTGTTTTTATTCTTCATAGTCTTATCTTATTATTATTGAAGCCCGTTTCTAATGCATAATGTGGATTAATCTTTTTCTGTCACAGTATTAACATGTGGATATATTACAAATACAAGGAAAATAATATTGATCTGTAGTGTAGTCTTGTGTCCTTTTGTGTGAAATTGTTATATCTAGCAAAGTTTTCTTTTTTATTGACCAGAGACTGAGCATAAAGCTTTTTTTTTATTTTTATAGATAATCAAACACATAGCTTTTTGCGACAAAGCTTATTAATATTATTGTATAAATATCATTGAAGCTGGGCATGTTAACATGCGTGCAGACCCAAGACTTGGGATATAGAGGTTCAGAGTTAGCTTTGGCTACATAGTGAGTTTGAGGCCAACCTGGGACACACGCACACGCATGCACATATGTTTGTGTGTGTGTGTATGTGAATTTTTATCAGGCCTTTACAAATAAATAAAAGCTTGGGTTTGGGAGAAACCCTACTGTTTATTTTCATTTGTATGTAGTGCTTAGTCTATACTGAGAATATTCTCTCCATAAATTCTTTTCCCTTGCTATATTTTTTTTTCCTCTTATATACAACAGGAGCTGCCACTTTAGTTGGTTCTATTTTCTTTTCCCAGGAGGAAGTAACCGTTGTTTTAACATTTCACCATTCAAAAAGAACTTTGGAGGTTGGTGAGATAGCTCAGAAGCACACTGTTCTCTGAGTTTTATTCCCAGCAACCAGATGGTAGCTCACAATCATCTGTAATGGGTTCTTATGCCCCTGTCAGGCATGCAGGTGCACATTGCAGACACAATACTGATATGTAAAAATTTAAAAAATAATAACTTTGGGGTCTGGAGACATGGCTCAGAGGTTAAGAGCACTGGTACCTTCTGGCTTACAGGCAGAACACTATACATAAATAAACAAAACAAAATAACAAAAAAAGAGGTGGGCTGGAGAGATGGCTCAACAGTTTAAGAACACTGAGCACTCACTGTCTGCTCTTCAAAGGTCCTGAGTCCAGTTCCCAGCAATCACACAGTGTCTCACAAGCATCTATAAAGGATCTGAAGCACTGTCTGGTAGTCTGGTATGCCTGCAGACAGAGCACTTATACATGTGAAAAAAAGTTTTTGTTTTTTTTTTTTTGTTTGTTTGTTTGTTTTAAAGAAAAGTGAATTAGCTGGGCAGTGGTGGAGGGTACCTTTAATCCCGGCATTTGGGAGGCAGAGGCAGGCAGATCTCTTAAGTCCAAGGCCAGCCTGGTCTACAAAGTGAGTTCTAGGACAGGCTCCAAAAATATGGAGAAATCCTGTCTCGAAGAGAGAGAGAAAGAACTTGGACCAAGCATAGGGATTCATATCCAGTACTTGGAAGGCTGAGGCAGGAAGATAAGGGGTTCATAGACAGCTATGGTGCTTGAGATCTTGGGTTCAATCCCCAGCCAAAGACAAAAGAAACAGTGCTTAAAGATTGGATTTTTTTTTCTTTTTGGCATTATGCCAAATCTGTGTTCCATGAATACACTGTATTGGGGGTATAAGCCACTGCTTCAGTATGCACCTCATGACTGGGGAATCCCTTGAAGAGTTTTCCATAAGAGAGCATCCTATTGTAATGGAGAGACAAGTAGGCTAACTAGGCAGGCCACATACTTCATTTCTGGCTCTTTCACGGGGCTTTGTTATTTTTAATGAAAGATACCTTTGATGCTTAATAAATGTAAACTAAAATGTAGATTACACCAGAAAAACTTGAATGTCATGCTTTGGATTTATTTCATCTGTGTAAATTATTTCTGGTTTTTCAAGACAGGGTTTCTCTGTGTAACAGTCCTGACTCTGCTAGAACTCACTCTGTAGACCAGGCTGGCCTCAGACTCCCAGAGATCCACCTGCCTATGGCTCTCAAGTGCTGGGATGAAAGGAGAGTCTCACCACTGCCTGACCTTTGTTTATTTTTCAAGACAAGTTTCTCTGTGTAGCCTGGCTGTCTTGGAACTAGCTTTGTGTACCAGTCTGTCCTCCAGTTCAGAAATCCATCTGCCTCTGCCTCCCAAGTGGTGGGATGTGGCACCACCACCTGACTGATTTTTTTTTTTTTTTTTTTTTTTTTTTTTTTTTTAAACTTAGGGGTTGAACCCAGGGCTTTGTGCATCGTAGGCAAACATTCTACCACTGAGCTATATTTGTGGTTCCCTCAAAGGTTCTAACATTAGGAAGAAAGCACATTAGGACTGGAATGTAGCTTAGCTGGGGCTTACCTAGTATATTTGAAGCCATAAGTTCCACATCTCTATCCCCATCGTAGCTAGCACTTCATTAATCTGGCACAGTGTTGCACACCTATAACTTAGGTACTAAAAGTCCAGCAAAAGGATCAAAAGTAAAGGGTTATCTTTGGCTTCATAGCAAATTCTAGGTTAATGGGCTAGCCCTTGTCTCAACAAAAACAAAATATATGAATTAATACATTTTTAATGTAATTCTTGATGAAACCTTGAGAATGGGGACCAGGGAATTAGACTGCCCTGGGTCTTGGTGATTCAGTATCTTAGTGGTGATGTACTGTATCTTTGCAGGATGTTACCTTTGTGTGGAATTAATTGGGTGCATACGATTTCTCTGTTTCCTAGAAGTACATATAAATCTATTAGACTTGCCCCAAAATAAAAAGATTGATGTAGATACACACACTTTTCATTTCACCCAAGAAGCAGAGGCAGGTAAGCTAATTAAAAAAAAAAAAAATGCAGTTGGAGAGATGGCTCAGAGATGAAAGTGCACTGACTGCTCTTTCAGAGGACCCAGGTTCAATTTTCAGCATTCACATGGTGCCTCACACCTGTCTTGTAACTCCAGTTTCAGGGCTTCTGACACCCTCACACAGACATAAGTGCAGGCAAAATACTGATGCACATAAAACAAAAATATATATTTAAAAAATAGAAAATAACTTCACCCCCAGTGATGTTTGAATGACTGATCCAGTTTCTCTTTTTAGCAACTGTGTTCATACTAGGCTGAAAATGGAAGCAATCCAGATGTCCTTCAATGAACAAGTTTTTAAAAAACATAAAAGAGCTGGGTGTGGCAGCACTCTTAGAATCCCAGCTCTCTAGAGGCAGAAGGAATAGAAATTCAAGTCCAGTCTGAACTACATAATGGAACCCTATCTCCAAAACCCAAAGCAAACAAAATTCATTCTCTTAATCCCTTGGCTTGAGATACAGCTCAATAATAAAGTGCTTGCTTGACTAGCATACCCAAGTCTTCTGGGTTCAACCTCTAGAAGGCACACAGTTGAAGAGTAGAAATTAAAGAGACTAGATGTAATACCTGTACTACTAGCTGTGGCTGGAGAGACACATTAGTCTAGGCTAATTAGCATGAACCTATCTCAGAAACATGCTGGGGCTGAAAAGATGACTTTTCTGTCTCAGATAACCATGATCACTTTGAGGATGAAAACTGGACCCAAGAGGAGTAAGGTTGGTCTGGTCTCTACAAACTAATATTTTAAGAAAAGGAAAAGTAGCTGGGACTGTGTTGCCTCCTCATGCATGGTACACCCTATGTTCTATCCCCAGTCATGCAAAAGAAGAAAAAAATAAAGGGATCAGGTGGGGGTGATTTGCATAGTGGTAATCAGGAAGGCAATTAGGTTACTGAACTGGTGACTTGAGAGAAGCTGGGCCTGGAACTCTGCTATTTCTCCATCTGAAGCCTAGTAGCATTGCTGAGCTGCCTAGAGTTCTCAGTGTTCTACCTGTAGAAGTGCTATTGAACAAACTTACTGAACATGAAGCCCCGACATCTGAGTTTGAACAGTGATGGAGAGTTCATGTCCTCA